AAAATCCCAATAGGAGGGTCAATACCAGAAGCTAGTGGCTAGATTTCATATGAATAGAAAACGCGTAAAAATCAGGAATGAAAAATTGTTAAATTGTACCATGAAGTTCAAAAAATTTGCAAAGTCTTCGGATCCGAACACCCGAATAATCAAGTTATCGTTCCATATGGATTAGCTCATTACACTCACACATCTGCATTGGATCCCGTCTCGTCAGTAACAAAGCGCTCCTCGCTGTTGGCTCTTGGCAAGACTCCGGCCAATTTGAGTACTTGGTCCGACCAGGCGGTTCCATCTAAATAGGATAAAGATAGGGGGGAGGGGTTAGAGAAGTGAGGAGAAAGAAAATAATGGGCAAATCATCAAAGAGAAAAAACAGGTAGAGAATTAGATATCAGAGATGTCATTAGAGAATTGTTTAAGAAAAGGCCGGGGAAATCCTCATCGAATGATCATACATAAGAGGGAATATCTTTTCTGTATTTCTGGACAGAAACAACAGAAGGCTTTTCAATAGAGAAATAAGGCTTGGTTATTAGTATCATTTATACTGTCACGTTTTCACTAGTTTTCTACTACCAGAATCTAATTTATCTGTAATTTTTTATGCTACTCCGATCAAGTGAAATTTAGCATCTGGTACTCCTAGAAAGACACAATATGATGGTATTTGACAATAAATGCAAATTTAGCTAGTAACAGTCGAAAAATAAGTCCAACTATGTAGGAATATTGTTCTGGAATATATCGGATGCTAAAATAGCACTATTAGAGCCCAAAAGGAAAGCTATTGCCTAAAGGTGAACTAATGGTTAACTGGAAATGGCAGAAGATTACAACACGACAACAGGCTACGGAAACTACCAGGATCCCAGTTACAGGTCTACCCTGCCGGAAAATAAATTCCAGTTAAAGGTATGAAGACCAAGATGGTGTGGCCTTTTGTGTGGTCACAGTCTCCTTTCGTTGTATAGAGGTTGTTTGAACTTGTTTTCGCTACATGGTCATACTGGTAGGAAGACTTAGAGAAACACACTTGGTCCGGAGTCCATTGTCTGCATGATCATTTCCAAAGTTGAACCGTGGACATAGTACATTCCCAAACGTTTCGCCGGCATCGTCAGTGAGTATCGCCATTGTCTCTTTGACGAGTTGTTGTGTGGTGCTAAGAATGGCGATACTCACGGACTATGCCGGTGAAACGTTTAGGAACGTACCACGTCCACGGTTCAACTTTGGAAACGATCATGCAGACAATGGACTCCGGACTAGGTGTGTTTCTCTAAGTCTTCCTACCAATATGACCATGTTGCGAAAACAAGGTCAAACAACCTCTAAATTCCAGTTAGATGATAAAATAAAATCCATTCATGCAATCGAATTCGGACATCAGATGAAGGGTTTGACAATTTCACCCATTACTTCAGCTGCTGGGTATAAGCTATTTTGTACATTTATGAGTCTCCCTCAATTTGCTGAAAGGTAGTAGTAGTGGATTCCGTTGGAGGGTTAATTCGATATAACATGGGATTTATTGCGTACCGGTATATTCGTTAATGTATCACTTATCTGCAATTGCCCCCATCTCAAGTGGTTGTGCAATTATGATAAAACCTAAAATAGAAATACCTAAAGAAGCTGGAGAGCATACCCATTGATCCGTCGTTTATGACGATACTTCCTGAGTCACTAGTCAGAGTGGCTGTTTTCGGCTGAATTGGAATAGCTCGCCTGGACTCCTGAACGCTGAAACGTGACTGAAAAGAACCTTTTGCCGCAGAATTCGACGCTGATGCAGCCATCAGCCCATCATCATTATCCTCATCGTCCTGCTCAGTGTCGGCTTCCACGCCCACATCACCAGTAAGATGGTTGTCCTCGAGCAGCTCAAAAGTGTCGCCGTCAATGTCGCTACTGCTTCGGCGCATGCGTAGGCGAGAAGGAACCAGCTGATAGGGGACAAATATGCGAACAGAGAGATCAAAACTGTAGGCATACAGAGGAATGAATGAACTCTTTTTAGCAACTTTGTCGTGTTGTTAGGGCGACTCAGTTCGAAGTCATTTGCTATAGTAGATACGAAGAGTAACCGGGTTTCAATGAAGCTCCTGATGTAACATTGTTGGGGAGACTTTCATTTCGTATTTAAATGCATGAGGAAGAAATTAGAAGAGAACTAAAAGTCTGCCCAACATTGTTATCTCAGGAGTTTCATCGAAACCCAATTACTTTTTGCGCATACCAAAAAAATGTAGTCCGGCAAGTTGAAAGAATTAGATGTGAAGACCAAGATGTTGTGGCCTCGGGTATGGTAGCAGTCTCCTTTCGACTTATACAAGTGGGTTGACCTCGTTGTCGCAACTTGGTCTTGTGCTCAGGGAGACTATGTAGAACGCACCGAGTCC